GTTTCTGAGGGCGCTCGAGCTTCCACTGGAAGCGAGCCGGAGCTTGGGCCAGCTTCTCTGAGCCTACAAAGGATCCCCCCACAACCTACTCCTATGGAATGAAATCATCTCACAACTAAGGCAAAGCCACAAGTCACTTTTGACACTGCTGATTGGAAACTGGGTCCCTAGGCTGCAGCATTCTGGGGGCAGGTCCCCTGGGCTGAGCAGCCCAGGAAGGGAGATGGCTCCTTGGCTTCAGTGCTTAAGAGTCCTTGCGGGCCATTGTTCCATTCTCCTTCTAACCTCAGCCCAGTTTAAATAATCACTGAACTTCGCATTCTACAACTATAGATTCCAAAAACACATGCCTACCTGCATTGGGTCCTTTATCATCTTAAAGGGCTCTGGGTATAAAGAAACACTTTTGTTTTTTTGGTGCACATATGCATAGTAGAGCCCAAAGGGCCTCTCAGCTGACTGGGTCCCCAGCCCCCAGAGCTGAGGCGGCTTCGGAAGGCCGGCTGCTACAAAGCGCCGAGCTTGGCTGCCTGGATTTTAATGAGAGCGTTAGGCAGAGCTGTGCTGCTGCTCTCCGGGACTTGCAGATCATTACCAAACCAGCTGTAGGATGAGAACACAGCACATCGAAACCCTAGGAGGTCACTGAGCTAACGATCTAATCCTACCTTCCGCAGGCAGAGCCCCTCCCCACCTCCTCCTGCCCCCAGCCCTTTCCACAGTGGACTCTGTCCATTCCAGAAGCCAAGCCAACACCGCCCCTTTCAAGGTCAGAGCAAAATGATAGTGAGTGGCTCTGGCTCCCCATTTTCCGGAAAGGAGGAGGATGAGGGTAATTTAGTCAAACCCATTAGGCCCAAACCCCAGCCTGGCCAGACCCCAGGGCTCGTATTTGAGAACTGGTGCCCTCCACCTGCCTCTCCAGCCTCTGCTGGGCCACAGCCGGGGCACCTTCAACAGCCGTTTCAGGGTTCTGATGAAGGCAGTTTCAGCTTCAAAAGTGCAGGTGGGAGACCCTGGAGTGCTCAGCATGAAGCTGGGTGCCAAGCCCTGTGGTGATCTGGGGAGTGGGAGGAGGGCACACTGTAGAGTAGCCACAGCAGGAGGACCTGCTGGCGCTTGCAGGCTCATTCTGCATGTCCCAAGTTCAAGGAAGGAGGCAGAGAGAGGCATTCAGCAAGGGCAGGCAGCAGTGCCCATGATTACACTCCCCTCAAGAGGGGTTTACAAGGGCTTTGGCAATTATTACAACCATTTGCTGTGCTGGGTAGAGACAGATCCTGTTTCTCTTTGTTTCAGGCTCTGAAAGCTGTAGAAGTCAGGAGAAGCTGATTTTAGCGTAAGAGGCTACATAACAGTTAGGGCAGAAGAGAGGGAACCTTGCTGTTGGCCAGAGCTGACCAGTTTTTTCCTGAATAATAGCACCTGTGTATTAGCTCTGGGAAGAGAGGTGAGGGCAGACTAACATAACCATATGCAATGACAGGGGGACAAGAGGAGGACCCTGAGTCGCTCTGTTTTTCAGCTCTCTTCACGCTGCCAGGTCCCCCCAGGCAGGTACCTGCAGCAGCTGCCAGCCAGAGGGACTGAAGTTTCTACAGCTGGCAGAACCTATGCTTAAATTGGGAAAATAAAAGGGAGGAGGAGCTGTGGTGGCACTCACAACGGCATCTGTCAAAACTGCCTGACCCCTTCCTTTTCTTCCCATTTCTGGTCTCCTAGAAGCTCAGCTCCTAGGCCACATGGCTGGCTGGTGATTGGAAGAAGGCAACAAAGGGTTACAAAAGAGGCTATAAAGGTCTGAGCAGCACTAGCAGAGCTGGCACAGGCCTAAGTCCTCCAACTGGGACCTCCACCTATGGGAAGTCTGGAGTAGCACACAGCCAAGACTGCTCTGCCCAGACTCCAGTAGGTGCTCATTATTTGGTCCCAGAAAACACAGGTGACTTGGAATCAGCAAGTCTGGGCTCTTGCTCTATCACTACCCAACTGTGTGACCTTGTGCAAGTCACTTCCTATCTCTAGGCCTCAGCATCTTTAAGCAGGCAGGATCCCAAGAGTTCCACCATCCTCTCTGTCTTGCACTTCCAAGTCTCTAAGCTTTGCTTCTGACAACTGGCAAAGGCCCAGGTCCATGTGCCAGAGCTAGTTTGGTCATGGATATCAGAGGTTAAAACTGGGCTGGCTGTATGGCCTACAGGCACCTAGGAAGGTGGGAGGGAGGGGCATCTACAGGACATCTGAACATCGCTCAGTAAAAGGCAGCCAGGGAAGGAGACAACAGCCTCAGTCTTTAGAAAGACGTCACTTCTAGGCAGAGAGGGCAAGACATTCTTCAGTAGCCTGACGCCTCCTGGAGTAAAGGGAATGAGGCAGCTTCACCTTGCTGATTAGGGCAGAGGGTGGGGCAGAGGGGTGCAGCAGACTGGCTTGGGGGCACTCAACATGCTGCCCTCTGGCAGCTGGCTGTGTCCTCCAAGGAGAAGATGAAAGTCATGATTTGAAATAGCACTAAGGAAGGTCAAGGGTTTTGGGAAAAGGCCACAAAGGAAAATGGCTCCTAGGGAAGGCACTATTTCTAACTGAATCCCTATCAAAGGGATCTTCTTTGGGGTTTTTCCTTCCTTTCACTAAGGAACAGTCACTAGAAAGGAAGAAGAACATTTCACCTATGGAATCCCATGGGCCTGACAGTGGGAAGAAGAAATAATATGTTCATTTGGAGGAAGCACTTGGTTATGTCTTTGGTTGCTTTGGGAAAGGCTTTGGCCCCTTGAAATTCTTTTTTCCTCCCTTTTCCTCCCCATGGGACAACTGGGATAGGTAGCAGAGAAAGCAGGCAGGAAAGAAAGTAAAGGGAGGTGGTGGCAGCAGAGCTAATCGGACCAGTCATCCTCGTCAAACTCAGATGAGTCGTCTTCAGAGTCGCTGTACTCCACTGCGATGCGGCGTGACAGGATGGTGGCCACGTCGTTGCCCACCACGTCACGCTTCTCTTGCTCCCGCTGCTCTTCAACCCTGCGCAGCTGAAAGCCTGGTGGCAGAGAGAGAAAAGGGCTGAAAGGCAGGTCCCCAACACTGAGCAAGAATCCATCAAACACATGGGCAGTAGCCACTTCTCGGGGAGGACGGGGAAGGACACAGAAAAGGAGGTTCCTCTATGAAATAAAAGAGGGAAGAGGAGTTACTCAGGAAGAGAAGGAAAGATGATTTTAAAAGATTGGTGTCCCGGTGCTGTGTGTGAGCAAAAGGCTTAAAGCCTCCCATTCTTCTGGCTGCTGGAAATGGTAGCTCCCCACAGGCTGAGTGGGGAGCAGCCCACCTCCCTGACTGGCACAGCTTCACTGGCCACACTGGGGCTCAGCACCTCAGGACTGTCTCCTCAAAAATACCAGAGTCAGGCTGGGGAGATAGCTCAGCGGCATAAGCACCTGCATGGCAAGTGCAAGCTCCTGAGTTCCACGCCAAGGACCAAAAGAACAAAACTAACAGTGTTTTGAGGGTCACAAACGCTACTCTTAACTCCATGGCCTGGTCAAAAAGAGAATAAATGCTTCAGTAAGGTGAGATGGTGACAGGGAGGGATGAAAGGGGAATAAATGAAGGGAATAGGAGAAAAGAGGAAATGAAGGGAAAGGGGTAAGAAAAATGGGGAGAAAAAAGGAAAGAGGGCAGAAGGAGGGAGGATACAATAGGCAGTACTGTGGAGAATGACCAAGTCTAGCTGAAGGGGGTACATGCTAGGACAGTGATTTGTGTTTATTTTTGGGTACTTTTTCAGTACCCGATTAAAAAAAATGAGGCTCTTTCCCCAGGGGAAAGAAATGCATGCAAATAAATACAAAGCATACATTTTCAAGAGCTCCAAGATCCCAGGTTAAGACATCTTTACTTTAGACCAATGTGGAAAGAAATCTCAAACTGTATTTTCAGGGTGAAGCCTTCTTTTAGGTTGTTCTGAGACTTAAAGTTCTGAATCTCCCCACTCAGTGAAGGCTACTTAGTCCCTCTTCCTAGCCTCTAATCAGCCATCTCGGCTTCAGAAAGATAAGGCTCCATGCTCCCAGACCCACACAGGAATTTACCTTGACGGATGGCAGAAAGCAGGTCACTACGGGCATCGCTCACGGCAGGCAAGGAGGACTTAGGCTTAGTGGCATCAGAAAGTGGTGGTGGTGGTGGTGCAGCAGGCTGGCTATCCACGCCACTGAAGGGGAGGGGTGGGGGCCCTGGAGGGGGTGGAGGAGGTGGGGGGGGAGGCACTCCTCCAGCTGACTGAGAGATGGGAGGTGGTGGGAGAGTTGGGTAGTCAGCTGCTGGTGGTGGAGGAGGTGGTGGAGGGGCAGCAAAATCAGGGTGAGGTGGAAAAGATGGGGGTGAAGGCGGTGGGGGTGTTTCTGGAGATCCAAATCCCATAGCCGGTGGTGGAGGTGGGATCCCCAGCGGAGGTGGAGGTGGCGGAGCTGGTGGTGAAGCAAATCCAGGTTTGGGACCTGGTGGAGAGCCCAGAGGAGGAGCTGGGGGCGGATGGCTTGGGCTGACCACGCTGGATCTTTTGGGTGCTGCCAGAACAGATGCTCTTTGGTTGTCTGCTGGATAGCTACAAGGGCAAAGAAAGAGATCCACTGTCACTCTCAGGATGCAAAGTCATACCCAGATAGGCTACCTCTAAGCTTAGGCATCTCTCTCTTTTTTTTTTTTTTTTTACAAGATTTTATTAATTGATTGATTGATTGATTGTGTGTGTGTGTGTGTGTGGCCAGCTCAGCCCACCAGGGGGCGGGGCTGGCTGGCATGTGGTGCTGGGGGATTGAACCATGGTCCCTGATGCTTTGTTAAACTTGTTTTATGTAGGTGCTTTAGACCACTGAGCCATCTCACCAGCCCCTAGGCATCTCTTTTTGACTCTGCCATTTCACTTTGTTAAAAACAGGATAGACCTGAGAAGGGTCAGAGCAGACCAACAAGGAAATGGGTACCTTTATAAGATGATGAGCTACCCACTAGCAAAGAAGTATAACAAGAAATTGAGGAAAACTACGTGGAAGAAGAGAACGTGGCACTCTCCTTCCAGGCAATGGCTAGCGGAGACATCTCTTAAGTCTTCCTCTGAACTTAGCTCTTAGCTCCTGAGGGAAAGGCACTGAACCCTCCTCTAGAGGAACAGCCCATGGGCAACTGTCAATTTAAGCTTGGAGACAGGACTAAGAATGTATATAAGAGGGGCTGGGGAGATAGCTCAGTAAAATAAGCACTTGCCTGGCAAGCACAGGGCCTGAGCTCAATCCCTGGTACCGCCAAAAAAACCCAAACCAAACCAAACAAAAAAAAGAATGTATATAAGAGTGGAATGAAAATTCAAATACCACCCACTCACTGGGCTCTGTTTCTCAAGCTATTAACATTCACCAGATCTGGTGGGGGCAGAAAACCCACAACCAGCTGACCAAACCTGAGTGGGATACAGATTTAGGTGCACACATCTTCACTTGAAAAAAAAAGTCTCCATCTGAGGAGTTGAGAATAAGAAATACATGTGCCGGGGCTGGTGAGATGGCTCAGTGGTCTAAAGCACCTACTTAGAACAAGCTTCGCAAAGCACAGGGACTGCAGTTCAATCCCCAGCACCACATGCCAGCCAGCCCCGCCCCCTGGTGGGCTGAGCTGGCCACACACACACACACACACACACACACACACACACACACACAAATAAAATTAAAAAAAAAAAGAAATACATGTGCCACCGACTCTTGACCCGGGCTTGAGAAATGATTAAGACTCTACTCCTGGAACCAGATTTGTATAAGTGCAGCTGCAAGACTCATGCTACATGTGAGGTTGAAGGTTTTCTTCTTCCACCTTTGTATCTGTCCTGCACTAATAGCTATTCCTTAGAAAAGCATCCATCTTGGAATTTTCCACAGACCTTCAAGCCTTAGCTCCATCTGACAGGACAACCAGCAGGAAGTGATTTGGGAGGCAGAAGGAGATCTGGGATTAGTTTCAAAGGCCAGGAAGAATGAGGGTAGAGAAGGAGGACAACACTGCTTTAAGTCTGAGGGGGCCTCAACATATGCAGTCACTAATTAAACAGGAGAAACATTGTTCAAGGAGAAAAGTGCACCTTTCTAAGCTCTCATTTGTCAGGCATCAGAAAGGCAACTATGAGAAAACACTGGAATCCAAACAAGTCTTAGACTTCTTTTCAGCCATTATAGGCCATCTCTGTACACCTCTGCCAGGGACACTGACAAATATCAAAACAGACAGGTTCTACATTTTATCCCTTTCTCCCTGGTCTTATTCTTTCTAGAAAGTACACCCAGCAGTGAAATGAACCCAGAGGCAATGGGAGAGGGAAGTGAGAATCTGCAAGGTTCTGGATCCAGGGCAAAGGGCTTGCTGTTTCAAGGTCATGTCACTTCCTACTGAGTTAAGGATAAGTGAAAAAGAAAGAAGCTAGGCCTGATGGAACAGGGCTATGGGAGCACTCTGGGAGGCTGAGGCAGAAGACTGTAAATTCAAGTCTAGTCTGGATAGTGCAGTGACTTACTGAGATCCTACCTCAAAATAAAAAATAAAAATAAATGGGTTAGGGGTGTGGCTCAATGCAAAGATTTAATTCTCAGTATTGGACCAAAAAGAAAAAGTTGATGACTTTTCCATTTGTTTAGGGATAGGCAGAATACAACAGTTAAGAACACAGACCCAGGAATCAGACTGACTCTGCCTCTTGCTGACTGTGTGACCTTAGGTAAGTTCAATGACCTCTCTGTGCCTCAGTTTACTGGTCTGTAACATGGGGATAATAATAATACTTATCTCAAGAGTATCCCTGAGGGAATTAAGTAACATACAGTATTCAGAACAATACCTGGCACCTTGCAACCTTGATAAATGTTAACTATTTCTATTATCTACAGTGACATACATGCCTGAGGTTATTTTAGTGGTCCTGTTCTAGAATTTAAATTCTTATCTTATTCTTGAGTATTTAACCACCCAAGACAGGTGGAAAAGGTTGTGCCATTTACCTGAACTCTGCTGGTGGTGGAGGCAAGTTGTCCTCAGAGAACGAAGGAGAAGGTGATGAGGCAGTGTCTGCCTGAGGTGGTGGTGGATAGCTGCCTGCATCCATGTTTTCAACAGAGCCAATGCTGCCGTTCTGATACACCAAGGCAGGAGAGTACCTGATAACAAATCCAAGGCCAAATGGTATCACTCAGATGTTACCATCTCATCTTTTCTTCTAAAATATACCACAGGGGGGCCAGGGAGATGGTTCAGTAGAATAAGCACTTCCCTGACAAGTGCAAGGGCCTGAGTTCAATCCCTGGTTCCGGAAAAACAAACAAACAAAAAAATAAAATATACTGCAGGGGGAAAAAAAAAAACCCACAGGGCCGGGGAGATGGCTCAGTGGAGTGAGCGCTTCCCTGGCAGGCGCAAGGGTCTGAGTTCAATCCCCAGTTCCGCAAAAATAAATAAATAAACAAATAAAAATAAATAAAATAAAATAAAATAAGCCACAAAAATATTTTTGCTACAAAAGCTATGAGAAGAAAGAAAATAAAGATTCCTCATATATTTTCTACTATCCTGAAATTTTACTTGAAAGGCTAAATATTCTACATATCTCCCACATTCTGCCGGATTCTCTGTAATACTGGGATTCAACCAAGATCATCAAAAACCCTGTTGTTTTTTTTCTGATGCCAGCCTTGTGAAATCCAGCAATTCTTTTAAATTCTCTCCCAGATGTGAGATGCAGCTTTATACCTGACTCCCCAAGTCAGTCTTGTGCAAAGGGTGAAGCCAAGCCCCACAGGCTAGTGAGCTGCACGTGTCACTGGCACGCAGCCTGATTTTGAGGTCGGCAAGCCTCTGGAGCGCTGAAAGGCCAAGAAGGCATTTGATTGCAAAATCAAGCCAAGGATGAATGCAGGTTGCTGTGTGGTAGTAAATGTGGTCTCCCTGCCAGATCTCTCTTATCAAACAAAATAAGCTGCCGATTAAAGTAGGGTGTTAGGACTTGCCTCATAAAAACCTGTCCCTCAGAGCACTGGGCCTTAGGTGAATTTACTGTGGGTGAATAACATCAAAACTTTAAACAAGCACAAATGCACCTAGCAATAAGCCATCACATGAGTACAAATGCACCATATGAGCTTTGCTCTACCTCCCCCTTCTTTCCACCATTGCTGGGTTCTAAAGAACTCATCAAAAACAAATCACAGGGAGAACAGAGTTGGAGGGAACTAACTAAATCGAATGATGCTCTGATGTGGAAAATCCCGAAAGCCTGGAGCCCTGTAGGCTTGGCACTTCTCTTGATAGGTTCACCAACAAGCATGTCCAGACAGACTAGCTGTGCAGCCTAAGACCAAGCCTTCTGGACAACAAGAAAATGAGAAGCAAACATCTCATCTTTACCAGCCCTATCCCACAAAAAAGGGGCACACACAACAAACACTTGGCATTTGGTGTGTATGGGGGGACAGGGTCTTGCTATGTAGTTAGGCTGGTCTTGAACTCACTATGTAATCAAGGTCATCCTCAAACTTGCAGTGATCTTCCTGTCTCAGCCTCTTAAATGCTGGGATGACAGGACTGCACCACCACACCTGGCTACAGCTGGCACACTGAACATGTGAGCTTCTGGCCAGAGCCACTGAACCCACAATAAGTGCCTGTCTGCCAAGGCTAGAACCATGGAAAAAAATGACCCCCTTTACTGTGAGGTGAGGGAATAAAGGTACCCTTAGGGCTGACTTCCCTGTAGAGAGAAGAGTTCATTTTCCTTCTCACTATCTTCATCACTCTTTAGAACAAATCTCTTAAATCAGGAGGAACAAGTGTCAAAGGTGTCAAGATTTTTATTTTTTTCAATGTCTTTTTTTTTTTTTTTACATTTATTTATTGTGTGTGTGTGGGGGGCAGCTCAGCCCACCAGGGGGCGCGGCTGGCTGGCATGTGGTGCTGGGGGATCGAACCGCGGTCCCTGTGCTTTTCCAAGCTTGTTCCAAATAGGTGCTTTAGACCACTGAGCCATCTCTCCAGCCCCGGTGTCAAGATTTTTAAAGGCCAAGATTTTTGTGGTAGTTATTCCTAAAAACAAGGAGAACTAGACTCTTTCTTTTTGTTACTCCTAGATATCAAGCATCGGCTGGTGTGGCTCTCTAATAGCCCATTTCCCACATGTATTTAGAGGAAAAACCAAATGGTAATCATGCCAAGCAGTCATAGTGACTTTGGCTTTGAATGTCACACACATCGGACACTAGGATAAGCATTAAACTAAGCTTTAAAATTAAACAACAACAACAAAAATACAAACAAACAAAAAAACACCAAATCACTTCTCCCCTTTCAGCCTCAATGTTATTTGGTATTGGGAAATGGGGTCAAAATGACATCTCCTATTTCCCCACAGAGATATATGGCCTCTACAGTGGCCAACCAACCTTTCCCACACTGACTCTGAGGTCTGCATTCAGCCCCTTGGCCAGCCTCTCTTCCAAGGCTGACAAAGGCTGACTGAAAAATTGCTCTAGTAAAGTGCACAATTTTCCTGCCTAGCTTTATCCACTCCCTCGAAATGCCCAGCTCTTAGGCACAACCTTCAAATACATGCTTTGGAGGGAAAGGGCTCCTAGGACTACTTTTCTAATCTTTCCTCTGAGACCCTTAAACTTACTTTTGCCTGGCAGAGTAAGAGTGCTAGAAGCCATGGGCCTCTGTACTAGAGCACTCCAGTTACCTCATTTAAATTGCTGAGTCTCTTGATTTATTTAGCAAATTTTAATCACCAGATGGATGCACTAAAAAATGGCTGATGAATAGTAGTATTGATCTAAACCACACAGCCAGACTTCAAGGGGTACAAAAGGCGTGATGCCAGAGCTGTTACACTGTTGGCCCCATGTCCCCACCCCCTTTAAAGAATGTTACAGATGGTACAAAATCATCACTTACCCAGAAAGCCCCAGCTTTTCTTTGGACTCCACAAATTCTTGTCCCATCTTCATTTTTTCCCACTCTTCTTTACGTGTCTTGATTTTACGTGGGTTTACATTTCCTCGATTTGGATTATCTTTTTTTTCCTTCTGTAATAAAAAGAAACAGAAAAGCCTTTAGAAAATATTCTCCAAAGTTTTTCATTAAAATTCCACCCATCTTCCTGGATGCACGTTTAAGAGATGACTTGCCTAGACAATGTTCAATAACAGCAGAATTTATAGAACTGCTGGGTTTGGAGTGACCTAGAAGCCATCTAATTGAAGTCACTTCCTGGGCAAAACATTTGTTTAGTCCCACACTCAAACATCTCTAGCAACAGGAAACCCACTCCTTCTCTGGGTAAGTCTTCCAAGTATTCAAACAACTAATTGTCAAGAAGTTAGTAAATGGTTATTTGTTACTTGCTATACCAGCAAGGTCTGTCAAGAGAGGTGAGAAAGAACAATAGCTGTAGATATATAAGACAGATGTAAGGAAATAGTTAAGACACACACACACCCAAAACAAAAAGGCCATGAAGAATTTTGCAGCCTATGCAGCTACACTAGCCTCTGGTGCTCTCTTGGGCCTGCTGGCAGCCATGCTAATGGGATTGTGAGGTCAAAACTGTTAGGTCACACATACAAGACACAGACAGCATCAGGAGCCTGAGGGGAGGGGAGCATCTCCACAAACCAGACCTATCCCCATCCTTGCCCTACCCAAGCAGGACTGAAGGTGTTAAACTGCTCTTGTTACAAATCACACTACAGAATCTTGTGCAGATTTCTAAGAAATGAGCTGCAAAACTGGCAAGGAAGGGACTAGCCTAGCCCAAGTGTCCAGCAGAGGCAGGTGCAAACTGCAAGAGAAATAAATGGTGACTAGAAAAGTCAATTTCTAAAACTCAGCCTGAATATACTCAATTGTTAATAGCGCTAGAGAACAAACATATTTTTGGTGTGATTTACACTTTCATCTTGGTGGTGCTTGGTATGGACACATTTTTTAAGAGTTTTACCTAGCATCCAAGCAAGCAGCCACTCGGAATTACTTCACATAAGACTGGCTTCCTTTTTATCCCCCTTCCACAATCGTGCCTACTGATGTGTAGAACAGAGGCCCCTTTCCCCTCACCCTATGCTTTCTCTTCTCTTTCATGATATCCTTGGTGTCCTGCAGCATCTTCTCCTTCCAAAGATCAAAGAAGTATGAAGGGTTGGTATAGAATTTGAGTGCCTCTTTTCCATCATCCCTGGGACAGAAATGAAGACAAGAAGCTGTCAGTAGACAGATGAGCTCCCAAACAAATCCAATATTCCAAATACTCACCAGTTAGCAGTTTTTACACCAAAGAATCAAAAAGTCACTCAAATCGATTGTGTATTTCCTTTTCCACATCAGTGTTTCAATGCCCCTGGATGGCATTGCTCTACCTCTTAAGAACCTTCACCTTATTTTCAATTCCTGATAGAAGAATCTGCATGGTCAAGGAGTAGCAGCAGGAATCCTGATTATTTCTAATGATCTACATCACCAGAGTTTCCTGAGGTTATCTGAATATCCAGGCACATCAGAGGAGATTTCTGCCAAAGGTTTCCCTTCCTCCACTAACTCCCCAGGACTCCTAAGGGCAGTTAGTGCTTTTCACCCACCTGAAACCTGTGCACTCAAGTGTACACTCACAAAGGGACATATCTGTGTATATATACAGCTATTACTCCTTACACACCGACAACTATTTTGCTGTACTATCTTGTTCCCTTGTAGAACAGCTCAGTACCTACTGCCACCCCAACCACAAGGGGGCCACACCAATAGATGACCATCTTTTTCAGAACCACAAGGTGCAATCACCATGTCTTAGCGACTATGACTGTAGTACACAGTAAGCTGAGTGTTAATATAAGAGCTATTTGCCAAATTTAATGATCCTGGTTGGAGCCCCCACCCCACCCCAGCATGGCCTAGCGCTCCACTATCTAGAAAGCACGTCCTTTGGGGTGAAATTTTATTTTAGTATTATTCCAAACTATAAAGAAATAGATATAATCCTATTCCCTGCTTTCCAATCCTATTGTAATACAGAGAATGCATTTCCAAATCAAATACTAATTTTTTTTTTTTTTTTTTTTGCAGAACCGGGGATTGAACTCAGGCCCTTGCGCTTGCCAGGGAAGCGCTTATACCCCTGAGCCATCTCCCGGCCCCAAACACTAATTATTTTTATATTAAATCTTATTTTGAGCTAGATATACCACTGCTTGTGTCTGTTAGGTCAACTCCAGATAACTGAGAGAAGATGCTAATTCTGAAATTAAGTATTTAAGGGGAAAACGCCATTATCTGAAAAACCAAAATTCTCAATATAATTTGTTCACCCTGTCATACAAACTGTACCATATGCCCTACATATTATCCGGTACGTGATCCCTTCCTGCTTCCCAATTTCAGCTAGACCCACAGGTGGAGATTCTGAGAGGTAGGCAGACACAGTGGCACATGTCTGGAGTTCCAGTTACTGAGTAGGCTGAGGCAGGAGGAGGACTTGAACCTAGGAATTCAAGGCCAGCCTGGGCAATATATAGTAAGACCCTTTTAGGGGACGGGGACACTGCACAGAGTCAAAACTATGTCCCACTATAATTGCTAGCTAGCTCCTTTGAGAACTAAGGGGCAAGCATAATTTCATATAGAAATAAAAAAGAATAGGTGTCATACACTTCTTTTGTTGCCTGTAAGAAACTACCTAGTGCCTATTCAAGGTGTTCTTGGCTTTAACAGGGTGTCCCCCTGCCTCTGTTTTGCAGTATACCTATGTTTGACAGAAGACATCTGCCTCTAGCTATCTGTAATTACTTTTTACTTGTTCCAAAGATATTTATGGATACAAGCAAGATAAATATTCACTTTTTGCCCTTGTTCAATAGTTTTGTGCAAGAAGACACCAGCACCAAACCACTAGCAGGGAGAGGTTTTGTCTATCAGGCTACCTTCTTTTTCAAATCCAGCCACAGCAGGGTCCTTGCAGATGGAAATGCGTGGAAAGAATGCTCAAAACTAAGTGAACGGCACTCACTTGGAAGGATGCCAATTACTCTTTAAGCTTTGGAAGGACCCCTCTGGGCCCAGAGCAGGCAGTCCATGAGGCTGGCCCCACTAACACACCAAACATCTGGTAATCTAGTGGTCTCCAAGTAAGTGGGAGCCTTGCTAGAAAGTCGCCCCTGGGATCCACGCTGTACGATCACCTTGCAACAAATTCCTTTTGGTTCCGTCATAACTAAATTGCTTGGATGGGATCCAGATGGACCTGGCTCATCCCAAGTTAAATTCTGCCACATGCAAATTTAAGTAAACTTTCAATATATATTGTACTCATTACAAATTTCAGAAACTAAACAACAGTGACAACTGCCATAGAGTAAACTAGCTCCTGCTACCACAAGCAATTCTGGGGCAAGTAGTAAGCTATGTCATACAATTCTCTGATGTAAATAACATCTTTAGACATTTTAGACAATGTAGTATCATTAAACACAGGTCAAAAATTGGAGAAGCTAGCCAGGTATTACCTGTAAGGGGTAAGGTTATTAAGAGGAGGAGGAGTATCACAGGTACTGTAGGTTTCTAAGATAGGCATTGGGAGAGAATTTCTGTCAAAAAGCTTCTGGTCTTGTATGGTAGAGCTTCTGAAGGCCTTTCGGGTGTTGATTCCTTGTAGTGACACTGAGAGAAGATGGAAGGTGTTAGAAAATGGACGACAGGCTATTTGAGCAAACACTGAGTCACACCAGTCAGAGAGGCCTCAGCTGCTGCATTTCTTGGCTGTGGCTGTCTGCAGCCAGGTTTTTTTTTTTTTTTTTTTCCCTCCCCCTCTAGGGAAGCCCCACAAGGCTGTCAGCAGCCCAGCCATTTCATGACTGAACAAAATGAGGCAACACAAAGGTTCACTATGTGGCCAGATCTAGCAGGCCTCTCCTTAGAATGAATCTTCCAAGTACTTTTATGGTAGCAAAATATGACTGAAGGAAAAGAAATCTTAGAAGAATTGGGGAAATGGGAGAAAAGGAGTGTGTAGGGGTGTGGCAGAGATGAAAAGCTTTCTTCATACCTCCCAGGATTGTGTCATTTCAAAGCAGAACCCTATAGGTCTCTGTGATTTGTCTCCTTTTTTTCATAAATCAAGGAAAATATTTCTAAGAGACTGCTCAGAAAAGCCTACGAATGCTGAGTTCAGCTTCCTTACCTTCCTCTTCCTTAGGATCCAGCTGAGTAACTTTAACTTGTAGTCGGTCGACCCTCTCACCAAGTGAGCTTACCCGAGACGCAAAGGTTTCTGCCAGAGTAAAGAGCTCTCCAAAAATGTCCTCTGCATTTTTACCTGGGGAGACAGCAAAGGACCCAAATAACTGGTGCACAAATGAAACAGAAATAGGAAAACTGGCCACTAATGATTATATATATATCTCCACTCTCAGATACATGCATGTATGCACACACACATGCATACACAGGTGCATGCCCACACATGCTTGCCCTTGGAGGTGGAAACATATTCTCCACAGCGTGGGGAGGCTGCATATGTTCCATAACTTACAGAGCCTTCCTCGTGAACTAAACAGTCATGGAACTCAAGGCAGGCCAAATTAAAAAAAAAAAAAGATGTAATGTAAAACATTAATTCTGGAAGAGCAAATAAAATGTCTACACATCTGCCTGAAGCCCTTAGCCCCTTGTTATTCTGTAAAATACCTTGTAAAATGGTTCTGGAAAAGACTGGGAGGTTAAGAGGACCTACTGGGTGTGCACAAGTAATAGGATAAATAAGAAATCACTTCCTCAATGGCACTTTGAAAGCCCACTGAATAAAGATGAGCTGGTGGTGGGAGCTGTTGAGATGGCTCAGTGGTCTAAAGCACCTACTTAGAACAAGCTTAGCAAAGCGCAGGGACTGCGGTTCAATCCCCCAGCACCACATGCCAGCCAGCCCCGCCCCCTGGTGGGCTGAGCTGGCCACACTCACATAAATAAATAAATAAATAAATAAATAAATAAATAAAAAAGATGAGCTGGTGGCATCTCTGAGGGACCTTGAACGTATTAGTGTCAACATCTCACAACAGACGCATAACTTTTTCTGAGAATTTAAAAGGTTACTTTATGTCCTATAACCTATAACTTTCAAAGTCTTTGCTCTAGGTTAGAATCCTTCAACTATGCATCTCTGGGAACAAATGAAAAGCTGAAATTTTAATCTCTTCCTGAAAAACAATATACTAGTGGTCTCTATCTACATTGTCTTATTATTTAGCAAAACAAAAAAGAGTTCTGTACATTCAATCCTAGAATGCAAGGAGAATTTGCAGCCAAAGAACCATAAGGGGAGCTGGGGAGATAACTCAGTGGTCTAAGCGCCTGCCTGGCAAGCCCAAGGACCCGGGTTCAATCCCCTGTGCCACCCACATACCATGCTGGCTCCACACCATGCCATACACCAAAATCAGGCGTGACAGTTCACACCTATAATCCCAGCACTGGGGAGGCTGAGACAGAAGAATCATTAGGAGTCCGAGATGCATAGCAAGAATGTGTACTAAAGAAATAAATAAAATATTTTTTAAAAAAGAAAAAGAAAAGAAAGAAACGTAAGAGCCATTTGACACTATCTCCATATTGTCATTCCAGGCCACAAAGCACATTCTTACTAGGAATGAAAATGTTGTATATGAATAAAGACACCGTCTGAGTTTCTTACTTGCAAGGTGAAGGCAGGCAAAAGTGTCTGGGCCCAACTCAAAGATAATTTTTTGAGAAATATTTAAAGTAGCCTCTTACTTTTCACTTCTAAACTACATAATACTTAAGTCTGTGTGGGGGGAGCAGTCTGAAAGGTCAAAACCACACCTTTAGTGTAAACTGTAGTTCACCTTTTCTATATAACCTAGACAGTAAAGATAAGACCAATCAACTGCATATTTTGAATTTCTGGTACATTTAGGTCAATAAGGAGTTTTTAATCAAGAAGGAAACAAGTCCTTGCATATTGAATGATTCTATGATCTAAACAACCATAGGAAGTTCTGGAACTTAAAGGGCTCAAATTGGCTAACATGCTCCATTTCTAAACTGCAAGCGAAAGATCCTATTTGATCCTTGTCCATAATAAAAACTACCCTGTACCATGCTTGACCACGTAATGGAAAACTGTTTGGAAGCTAAAGCAGAGAAATATACAACATTACGGCTGGAAAATAAATCAGGCTCACAAATATCTAACTGTTCTAGAGGAAAAAAAAAATCCCAAATCACCTTACCCTTAGATCACCAAGAGAGGACTCAGGATTTCCTGCTCCTTAATAAAGGAGGGAATAGCAGTGGGAGTAGTGAACTAGTGTGACATAGTGTTTTTTCAAGATAAAAATCTTACAAAGAACTCTTAACATATAAAATTAGTAACATGGGGATCTCTTTTTTAAGAGGGAGTGAGGTGGAATGAAGACTTTCCCACTATCTTTCAACCCAAGTTCTAGGCAGACTCAGGACTCAGCACTTGGCTCAGTGGTACAACACTTACCTAACAAGAAAGTTCTTGGTTTCATCCCAGCACCACAAAAAACAAAAACAAAAATGACTAAAGAATAGAACCTGGAAAGGAGCACTGGATTTCAAATCAAAGACCTGAATTTTATGTCTCAGCCTTTTCTATTTATACCTATGTACTCTTAACAAATCATAACCTCTCAGCCTCAATCTCATCAATGAACTGGAGAAAATAACTGTACCTCACAGAATTATCATAAAGACTGAAGGAACTAAAAACATCTTAAATTATCACAATGAGATTTCTTCCTTAAATAACTGCTCACTCAGGATAAGTGACCCTCTCCACATCAGGTACTGAACCCGGGGCATTTACATGGAGCTACATCTCCAGCTCTTTTACTATTTTTTTATTATAAGATAGGGTGCTACTAAATTGCCCAGACTGGCTTTGAACTTGTGATCTTCCTGCCTTAGTTTCTCAGAGTGATGGGATTAGAGGAATGTACCACCATGCCCAGGAAGATGACTTTTAAGAGGATAACTCTCTAAACCAGATGAGGTGGTAAATATCTGCAGTCTCTGCTATTTTGCAGGCTGAGCTCATTAATTTGAGACCGGCCTGGGCAACAATAGTGAGACCCTGTTTCAGAGACAGAGACAGGGAGACAGACACAGAGATAGAATATGAATCTAAATATCCTAAGCGTTAAGCTTGGAAGAAATTTAAAATATAATTCCAATCAGTATTTGATAATCCCTATTCTTCAACTGTTAAAAATTATTACAACCTTTGAAAACAGAAGTATGATACTGAAATAGGAGAAAACCAAAGTGTCTTGTTAAATTTCACTCACTCAGATGATCAAGACAGACCCCACAACATCAGAACATTCGTAAGACATTATATTATGCAAAAGATTTCAGAACTGCCTTCAATATTTTTCCCCCTTAGCAGAGCCCTTCAAAAGAAATGTTATATGAAAGTACAGATAAGATTGATTTTTAAAAATACACAGCTGTTCCAGTCTGAGTAAGAGTCCTGGAGTTCCCTGATGCCACGTGCTACCCTTCCACTCCAATGCAGTCAGAAAACCCAGTCTCACTGCATGATTTCCTAATGACCCAATGGGGGTGGGGGTGTCCATCTTTCAGGATAGTCACAATACTGCTGAAAAATGCTATCTGTCTGGCTTTCAAAGAACTATTCATTTGTCTACTTGTTGTTTGAGACAGGATCTCACTATATAGTCCATGTTGGCCTTGAAGATTTTTCTAAGCTTTGGCTTCTTCATTTGAAAAATAAGAATATGACTTCCTATGATAACTAAAAAGATTAAATGAGATCATGTTAAGATCTGATCAAGGGGCTGGTGAGATGGCTCAGTGGTCTAAAGCACTTACTTAGAACAAGCTTAGCAAAGCACAGGGACCTCGGTTCAATTCCCCAGCACCACATGCCAGCCAGCCCCGCCCCCTGGTGGGCTGAGCTGGTCACACACACACACACACACACACACACACACACACACACACATAAATAAATAATTAAAAAAAATCTGATCAAAACTTAGCTTTTAGCAGACAAGAAACTCAAATTCCCCACATGAATAATTTATTGTTGTTCCCCTGGTAGAGTGTAAGTTCCTGGAAGGTAGAAAGCACTTCTTATCACTGTATCTTCTCAGCACAGCACATGAAATATGCTCAACACATGTTTAACAGACGAATAAAGGGTCAGTTAGACCCAAATGTGAGAAAATCTTGGTTCTTTAGGCACAAGCTGACCCAGGTCCTCAGACTGACTTCCTTAAGATAGCGTGGAGGAGTGGTCTGAGTACAAGTGGGAGAGTCCACAATGACTTCCATCCACACCCTGGAAAGACACCTGAGAGGATGTGTAACTCCTGCTGAGTAAGAGTAAGAAGCATTAACTAGATGTTCTTTGTCCTACAGAGAAAGAACGAGTATGTGATTGACTTCTACCCATTTGGCCTTCTCAGGCTGACAAAAGCAGATGACACTTTTAAAAGGCAGCGAGGCTTTCTGCAGCTTCCTTGTGCCTGTCAGCTGCATTGCTGCTGCGCTACTGTCAATGTTCCTTTGTATAAGACAGGAACTGCAGGGCTTCATTTCTCCACCATGCTCCATTCTGGTTTCCCTAAGCCCTGGATCAACTGAGATGGTCCCTGAGCTAGGTGAAGGCTTAGGAATCTGAAACTCCATATATCATCTGATCACAGAGCACTGTCTCCTCAGGCTCCTGTTTTAAAGGCAGGGCCTATTACTATCTGGGGGAATGCAGGCTATCTTGATACTCGCCTACCTTCAACAGGAAGGGTGAGTGTCTGAAATAATTCACACCAAGATGCGTCTGCTAAGGATGATCACTAAAATGGCATTTTGCTAGAGGTGTTTGTGGGAACAGGGGTGGCACTAGACAAATGCAGAGCCAATCTGAACATCTTCCCTTCCGTGCCTCAGATTCAAAAAATAAAGTCAGCTTGATTCAGAATGAAATCTAACCCACATACATGTACCCCACCCAAGGCAGTCTCACTCATTCTTGCCAATTAAAAAAAAAAAAAAAAAAGTAATCATGCTGGGTTTCTTTCAGCCTCAAAAAATACTCGGCTAGCCCCCACCTCTCCTAGAGAAGAATGGCTCCAGCTACTATTTGTGTCACCGTGTTCATGCAGCCTGCAAAACTCCCAAGACCCCAGAGACTACTGAAGTAATGTGTACCCTGAACTTGGACCTGGGGGCTTGCAGCACAATTAAATGTGTACCACATGGTAGACAAGTCAGCCAGAATGTCTCTAAATGCAAGTTTGCTCTACTCTTTGGGAAGAAAAAGGGGAGGGTGTTGAGTAGAGAAAGACTATTGACACGTTTGAAGCTTCAACAAAGTCAGGCTACATCGAACAGCTTGTGTAATTACAGTCACTTTCCTTGACCCAAGACAGTGTTCTGTGAATCTTCCACTTTACACACAGAATTCTGCTCTGTCATTCCATCTGCAGCTTTTGCTGCAGTCCTTCCTGCCACCCTTCCCACAGATTTCTTTTGAAAGAGGTGTAGGGAAGATAGAGGAAACCTACAGTGATGGTAGATGAAGAAAGGGTAGAGGGGAAGAATCTGTACCAAAAAAGGAGTTTTTCTTTGGGAAGGGGGGATGGGATGGGATACATTTTTGCATTACCTTCGGAAGGCAGATGGGGGAGAAATAGGAACAGGGGAGAAGAAAACTAAATAAAGAGCACCAACGACCCCTGAGGGCAAAGTACAGGCTCTGCGAGGCACTCACTCAGGCTGCCCAGCTGTCGGATGACATTTGCCAGGTCGATGTTGGTCACGCATTCCAGCTCGTTTCTAACGCTAGGCAACTTCTGACGGCACAGGTGCCTTGGCTCGATGTTCCTAGTTACTAACGGCATAGCGGACCTGCTTCAGGCAATGTTCTGAATGATGAAAAACAACCTAAAAAAGAAATAACAGGAAAGTATTACTCAACCACAAATTCCAGGCACACTAGGGCTGTATGAATCTTTTTTTTTTTTTTTTGAGTCTTGCTCTGATCTAAAACAGCTTTTTAAAATTCTCTCTCTCTCTCTCTCTCTCTCTCTCTCTCTCTCTCTCTCTTTTTCTAACCCCTCCACCTTCCCATCTTTTCTAAGGTTTGCTATTAGAAGATTTGCTCTATAAATTTAGAAATTCTGAATTGGTGAATGCTAGCTAAGATACACAAGCAGAAGAACAACCTCACAGTGATAACTACCGCTCCAATCAAGAGTCCCCAGAGGCAAGGAGGCATGGTTAGAAAACAGCCCGTTCAGCAGCCACTGAATGGTATCCTTGGGGGTGTCCATAACCAAAACAGATCAGGTTCTAGTCCGCCCATTATAGAGATCAAAAAAGAGCTTCTGTCATCTGATAATCTCCACAATGAAATCAAGCTGTCAACAGTCATTCCACTGATATACATCAGGACATGATTTCTCCAGCTTTTCCTGGATGGGTGACTGTTAATGTACAGCTAACTACTAGCTGCCAGTATCTATTAACACTACTAAAGTTTAGTCTATAAACTGTCAGGATGAAAGAATATCAAGGAAATTTTTACATGTTCAATATGTCAAACATGATGCTGAGCCAACTGTGCTCTAAGATTCCCTGGTCCTTTCTCTTCCCACCCAATCCAATACACAGAAGCCAAAGGGCTCTAGAGATAGCAGAAAATGTCTGGAGTAGATCCAGAAAACTCAGTTACTCTTTCTTACCCCTAGGCTGACCCCCTTTCCCAGGAAATCCCCCAACACTCCAGGCTCATGGTGAGCTATTGTTTTAGATTTAAATTTGCCTACAAATTTAGGACACGGTTTCAATCTCAACAGAATGAGTGTGACTGCAGTCAAGGCACCCTGAGGTGGTCCTGTGTCATATCTTGTGAAACTCAAGAAATCTAAAATAGCTGATGGCTTTCATGCCAATTCACTTCAGATGCTAAAAGGTAAGGTACAAGGAAAACATATACAAGTACTCCCCAACATTACAAATGCCTCTTAAATTTTTTTTTAAAGTTTTACTTATATCAAATCTTAAAACACCAGCTCATCACCAAAGGAGTTCCTTGTGAATACAAAATGTTTAAGCCAGGGCTGGCCAAATAGCTCAGCAGAATAAAGCACCTGCAAGCAGGCTCAGGGTGATTGAGACTTGGCCCAGTAGCATGCCTGTAATCCCAGCTCTTGGGAGGCTGTAAACAGGTGGATCACTATGAGTCCGATCTAGTAGTGAGACCCTGAACACCCTGTAGACCCCTCCCTA